TCGGTTTTTAGAAAAAGTTTTAAAAATCTACCCAAAAGCCAGTTTTACGAAAATTAGGGTTTTCAGGCTGTTTTCACCTAATATTAAAAAATTCACTATTCACTCAAAAAACATCAGAACAAGCTCAAAACTTCAGAATGTAAAGTATTTAAGCTATTCTATATCCTGTTTATAGGAGATCTCGAAATAAATTGTAAAAGAACCCTGAGGTTTTCCAAAAAGGGTTTCTGGAAAACTTATGAAAAAAAATATGCTTTTAAATTTTTTCGCTCTTATAATCACGTTTAGCGGTTAACGTTAATCATATCCTGTGATTTTAAGCTTGTTCCGATGTTTTTTGAGTGAATAGTGAATTTTTTAATATTAGGTGAAAACAGCCTGAAAATCCTAATTTTCGTAAAACTGGCTTTTTGGTAGATTTTTAAAACTTTTTCTAAAAACAAATATTGTCACGAGACTCAGCATGGTCGATTACCCATATTCCATCCGTTTTTAAGGCTACCAAGAGTCACCGGGTCCCAGTCCCTGGACTCATAGGAAATCCGATACAACGCCCGAACCGAAGAAAATCAAGGTCTCACTTTACTTCCGTTTTGAAGAGAACACCCTGGGCTATCAGTCCATGAAAAAAAAGTCAATACATTCCTATGTGAATTTCGGCAAATCCAAGCTAGTTTTTCAAAGATCTTCTGAAAAACTCGCTTCAGAAGTTTTTCCGAAATTCGTTTTTGCTCACATGAATATGTGGTCAGGTATCTAGTTGGTTAAGTGCCTTATCTGTTGCAGACGTTGGCTAACATGATACGCCAATTTCTCCGATCTTGTGCTGCGTGAAGGAAGTCTATTTTCTCATATCCTTGTTTTTCAATCCAGATGTTCGTGTTTTCGAGGTACTTGATTCTTGGTCGGCCTTTGCCTTTTTTCCCATTGATTTTTCCACTTAGTACCAGGTGTTACAAGCAACGTTTACGGATTATATGACCAAGGAATTTCAGTTGCCTGTTTCGAATGGTATTCAGCAAACATCTTTTCCATTTCGTTCTCCTTAATATTGACTCATTGCTTTCTCTATTCGTCCAAGGAACATTCAGCATCCTTCTTAAGAACTTGACGTAACAATTGAAAGAATTTGTTCACGAAGTAAGACGATGAATAATTTTTATTTTTTCAATAGAACACTAATAGTTCAATCTCACACAGAAAAATGAAAAAGACTAAATGGTACTGTTTGAAAACATCTCAAATACGAAATCGTAAGCAAAAATATCTAGTTATATTTGCTAGAGTATCGGGCGTGATGCTCCAGCAAAAGTATCTAGATAAAAGGGTAAAAGATATCGGGTTTGACCCAATTACACGATCCAATGCCCGATGAATCTAGTGCGAAAGTACAGGTGCTCTTTTTTTTTGGTTCTGAATCAGGCAGAAAAAAGAAATAATGCTACTGCAAAGATTCGAACTCTGTACCTGACGATTAGCTTCTCTGTATGTACCACTGTACCACAGGAGCTTATACTTTTTTCTTTCGTTCTCTATTTTCTCAGAAAAAAATCGTAACATTAAAAAATATTAATTAAGAGTAAGTAGCATTTTTCACCTTGAAGGAAGCATTTCTGAAGATCGAGTCACGAACATGAAATATAGAAAATTGAATTTCCCAAAAAATGTTTACTTTAACCGTGTTTCTAGAAGTCCTTTTTCATGATAAAAATCAGCAAACATCGTTTTTGCCTTTGAAGACCGATTTGTACAAAGTTGAGCTCAATAGATAAAATTTAGGAAATTATATTTGCCATCTATTGCTTTCTGTGCTTAACTTAGGAAGCCCTTTCTTCATAGTGGAAAATCGAAAATTAGCAAAAAAGTTGTGTTTTTGGTTTTTCGTTAGGTCACAGCACATGTCTGTCAAAAGAATGATAGAAATATGCGAAACTGAAAAATGAGAACGAGATGCAGGTCTGGTTTTCAAGGGAGTGATCCCCAGTAGTTCAAATTTTTTTTTCATCAGCCACATGAGAAGAGAAAAAAATGTGCAAAAAAGGCTCGCGCAGCGAAAAGTTTTGAATCGGTAGCTTCCCCCCACCCCACATTTTTTGTATAAAAGCAGTTTAATTTTTAGAGCTAAGCGTTAAAAATATGTTTTTTTTCTACAAGTCGATCTATGTTGAAAGCTTCCACACAGGTTTTCTCAGCTATAAAATCAGAATAAAATTATGTAGTAGAGTTAAACTAATATTTCAAAGAAGGAGGACATTGTTTTATTAACCCTGAGAGCAAAGTCATCTTAAGCAACGCTTGATCTACGCCATCCATACAGTCTGATTAGAATCTAAGAAACTCTTTTACCCATCGCTTATGTCTTGCTACATGCATTAAAGACTTCTTACTAAAGTTTTGATCAAACAATTTTGGAAAAAAAGTTGATTACGTTCGTACCAGGAGTCAACCTTCTCACCGTCTCCGTTGAATTCTCTCCGTTCACTATTAAGATCTATATATACTACGTATCTTTTCTCTTGTAAAAAGAAACTTTAAATATTTTTAAATCATACAAAATCCTTAGTAACAAGATAAAGACTTTGCATTAGTGAGTTGTTTTTTCGCATCAGCTTCTTTTATGAACTTTTTTATTCGAGCTTTCATTTTGCCAACGTCAGTCTTTTCATACATGATACATATCATATATTGTTGAGGTAATTCGATCTGTTCGGAAATTGTTCGTAGTATTCTGGGAGAAAAGCGACTACTGCTATATGTAAATGATTCCATAAAAAAATCTTTTCTCTCTTCTACATCTTTTTGAGTAGTTTTTGACATCTTTACGAATAATTTGACTAATGTTTTTAAATGTTGTTCTATATTAATTTCATTTCGACATTTTTGATCTTTAATCCATTCATTTACGGTATATTTTATATTTAAATAAAGAGTATCATGATAACTTTGATATAGACGTCCAACGATTCCATCACATGATAAAACTAAATATGCATGAGATGGCCCAGATGGATCTTCCCGTTTGAGGGAAGCTGGAGCAAGTAAAGCAATACGCAATATAAATGGTCCTCGAATTTTTTTCATTTTTTTAATATGTAATTCAACATCTTGCTCTGATCTGAGATCATGTCCATGTTGATCAACTTCGTTCAGATCATTTTTGCCTGTAAGTTGTATTACAAGTTGATCAGCTACCTTGCCACAATCTGCTCTGTTCTTCTTGCCTATTTTATCTTCAAAATGAGCATTTCTCTGTTTAGTTGCAAAAAGTTGGCCCATCGTCATATCATGCAATTTCGTTAATGATGTGACACATTCAACGATTGAATAATAAAAGACAACTATAGAGAAAAAATATAATTTTAAAACTAACATAACAAGACAACAATTTGAAATCGAAATAGACAATAAAGCGCGCGTGAGATAACGAACACTGTTGTGTCGTTAGATTTCTAGTGATCTTCATAGCTCTAATTTTCTAACGTATTTTAAGCTTTGATCAAAAGGGAAGATACTTTCATTTCGTATTTTATTAAAACAATTCAATTGTTTTAATAAAATACGAAATGAAAGTATCTTCCCTTTTACTCAAATCTTATCTATTTCGTATCAGCCAAGTGTTGCTCAATATGTATTTTAAATTACTAAAATTTCTTAGTTCATGCAAATATATTAAACTTAAAGGCATTTTAACCAAATGCGTTTAGGAAAAAATCCTTCTGGTTTTTACCAAAGCTAGAAAACAATTCGATTCTTTCTAAAAAACACTTTTTCCCTTTTTGGTCAAACAGAATTTCTCTAGCGGTTTGTCCACGTAACGCGCTACTTCGCCGATCAAGTTTTTTTTTCATGTTTTTACTCGATAAATCGGTAGAGGCACATCATTAGACGCAGTTTTGCACACTGATTATGAATCCGACATTTTTTTTCAAAAAAAATGGAGTGTTCATTTAAAAAGTTGAAATTGAAATTTTTTAAAAAGTTTATTTTCAATTTTCTTACCTAGATACTTTCTTTAAAAAAATTGAAATATACACCATCGGATAGATAATTCAATTCTTTACAAAATAGCTTACTCAGTTTTTGAGTTTTGAAGCTTTAGCAAAACATTGAATTTTTTGAAAAGAGTTAAATTTTTTTGAAATACCCAAGAGTGCAATTTTTGAAATTAATGATCGCAGCGTTAAAATCGTTTCTCAACAATTTTCTGTAGTGCATTGGAAAGAGTACACAGAAATCTATCTATCTGTAGGAAAATGAAATTTTTTGAACAAGGTTTAGTGCTTCAAAATGAGATGAGAAAAGATGATCAAAAATGAGAAAAAAAAATGTTACTGGGTAACGGAATAAAACCGTGTTTCAGGCTCGCAGAAAATAGTTAGGAGATAAAGCTTCTTGCCAACGTGTAGGCCGTTGTGCGCTCTACAACTCTTGTGTCACTCAAAATTTCCAGAGTGTCTTAGATTACCGAGAAAATCGCAATTTGTTCTGTCCGCCAAAAATTATGAGCCTTTTTTGTTACTGCATAACGCGATATAGAATTCATCTCTAAGCCGTCAAGCTTAACCAAGTTTTTGCATTTTTTCAGCATACGTAGAGGAAATGTTACTACATAAAATGGCGCAAGAACCAACTCTCTAGCTCTTAAACTTCTCGAAAAAACCGTGATTTATTGTGTCAGAAATGTTACGGTGTAACTTGGACAAGCCGCGAGGGAGGAAGAAAGTATGGTTGTGACTGAAGAGAAAGCATTAGCGCAAAACCGACTTTTTATACGGGGAACAGAATCGGCCCAAATTTTTTTCTGAAGAGCTTATTATGTGAATCGACGGTCAGCAAAGTATCTCTTGATTCAAATCACTTTTCACATTTTGGCGCGAATAAACGCGCCACTTAAAACGCGCTACTATTCGCGCCAAAATGTGAAAAGTGATTTGAATCAAGAGATACTTTGCTGACCGTCGATTCACATAATAAGCTCTTCAGAAAAAAATTTGGACCGATTCTGTTCCCCATATAAAAAGTCGGTTTTGCGCTAATGGAAATTATAACTGTTCTGGGGTGAGTATAGAATGTTGATCTCTGGGTGCTGGTGTGTTTCGGCCGATGAATCGAGATGTGTCATGTTATTTATCAGGTTGCGTCGCGTTGAAATCAAGTCATAACATATGGGTTTCGAAGTAAAGAATAATATACAAAAGAGACAGGTTTACTTTATGCGGGTTTATTAGTTTTCTATATTTTCCTTTTTATTCGCTTGTTTTGATCAACTCTGTATCTTACGTATGTATGACTGCTTCAAAAGTATGCTATTTAACTGCTAATGAGAAAGATTAGTAAAAGCAAAATATGTATTATTTTCATACTTTCTCAAATATTATTTTTATGCACATTCGAGAAGGATTATGGATTCCTATTTTAAATTATACAACTGTTTTAATAAAGCTATGTGCATCCAACAACTCACGTTCTGCACTATTCTTTATACGTCTCTGATTCCTTTTGATATAGACCTTGTCATTGTTTTGGTCCAAGTTGTATATAAAGGTTAGCCTATAAGTCCTGTCTCATTCAGTATTTTCTCAATATTTCGGTCTATGTTGATCGCCAAGTCTCGATCTGTTTTTAAAAAAAATGTCATTCAGTTCTCTACACAAGACATATTGACATTTTTTTATGCACTATAAGAATAAAAAAATATAGAGAAAATACGGGAAAGCTTCAATATCGAGTACTTTCAAACCCAAAACGCAATCAAACAATATTTATTTTGAACACGGCGCTATGCATCAACGTGGAGTCGAAATGTATTTTCTGGGAAATGGAAAGCTCAGCACTAGGAAAGATCAGCGAAAGTATTGATATTTCACAATTTGGAAGCAAAAGTCAAAATTGTGATTCTTGCAAAATGCCAAGAACAATGTATTGTATATAGTGTATACAGCATATGTTTGTAAACTGACATGGACTTATGTATAGATCATGCCTGCAAATATAAATCTACTTCTCAGATTAAGAGATAAGTTTTAGAATTGCAGTTGTAAACTACCAAACCAAAAGCACGTTTGGATATTAATGGTTTCTCATATATAAAAGATTGCACTACGAATGAAAAAACATATTTTATTAATCATTTTTCTCAAAATTATCACTCTCGTCTTCATACATGATTACAATGATATATTAGTTGCAATAGAATCAAGTTGTTTTAAAACATCTGTATGCGGGTTAGAGATAATATTTAATAAACGTTTTTCAAAACGTTCATTCTACTTTTCAATTTGAGTGCCTGACCAGCATTAATGTTTAAAACGTCCATATGCGTCGCATTTTCTTCTTCAATTAGCTTTATTAGTCAAGTAGATTTATGACAGGCAAAAGATGGTTCTCTGATAACATTATTTGACTTTTAGCATAAAATTATATTTAACAAATAATTCTTGCACACATTCGTTATACTGGTTTCAAAAACACGTGCATAAGTTTTGCGATTGAATATACAACCCAAACAAGACGTCCTTTTCAAGTCAAAAAAACTTCTTTCTCTTAATTCGAAATATATAATTATTATTTTTACAAAAAAAATGCAGCAGAAATAAAAGACCATGATCCTCTATACCGATTAGCAACTCACAAACTTCAGCCCAGTCTTCTAATAGGAGATAATCCTTTATTACGGGTGGGGATTTAGTGAAAATAGATAGCATCTAAAACAGAAATTGTTCAGCAGAGAGATCCAATTTCACTCATTTGTGAAATGTTCGGTGCAGTAGCAAAAAAAACAGCTATCTAAATTACCAAAAATAATCACGTTAATTAGTCAGAGTGACTAAAGCCAGTACATACTGTAGAGTGACAAGACGATACATTAACTCACACATTTGATAGCCAAAAGGAACAAACAAATTGATAGAGGATTGTTATAATGGCGGTTGATCCGGCAAATCGTAGCTGAATGCTGCCCGTTTTCATTCATTATCTTTTAAGACGTGAAATAGTATTTCTAATGTGAATATCTGCTCATGGTTTGAGAATATTGCGCAATATTTTCAGAGTCAACAAGCATCTATTCTCCTTCATGCAGAGTACATATTATTGTTCGTTCTTTTTACCACACTTCTTCACCCCCAAATTATCAAGATTAAAAAATCTGCGAAATATAAAGAAAAAAGTGATACTGCTGTAAACGGCAAACAGTTAAGAATATATAAAGTTGCAATGCTAAAATTTTATGTACTATATTAAAAAATTGACTTATTCTAATAACTAAAATAAAATTTGAATTAAAAATTTGAATGTAATAAAAAAAACTTAATGTTTGCAAGGTTTTGAAAGGGAATCTTCAGATCACAGGTTATCGCTATTCTATGAACAATGACGAACATTTTTGCTTGAAGATTCACACTTTATTCTTCTATCTCTCTCAGCTATGATTTCTATTTTCTATTCCTGAATATTATACTCAACATATATCAGTGTATGGTCCAACTGAAGAAGAATAACCAAAGCGACTCATAAGAGCAAAACACATGATATGTCTGGATATTTTTAATAATGATGTCGTTCACTCATATTTTCGTTTATTTCGAAGAATAATATATATTTTCTATAAAAAATATTTTGTAGTATTTATTTATAGATTATCTGTCATAAGTGTATTCCCACCATTTTGAGGATGGTAGTTGTTCCGGATGACCATTACATGTACGTAACATAATACCATAACAAATAATATCTTCTGTTATATATTGACGACCTTTTGCTGCTGGTATTACCCATTCTAATTCACTATTTAAAAAATTTTCATCAATTTGTCTCCATTTTTCATCGTCTGATAATAAAGTTTCTGGATGAACACTTTTATTTGTTATAAATCTTGGATTAACACGACATTGAAATACCAACTGGTAGAACTTATTTGGTTCATCTGGTTTTGACCATGGTTCAGCGTAGCGTGGGTGTGCGCAGTATTCAATACTTGGTGATAAATAAATACATGGACGTATTGTCCAGCAACCTCCTTGACTTACTCTTAACCCAGAATTTAAGATATCTGATGCAACTTTACTCTTTGTACCATGATAAGCAATATACCAGTCGCCCCATTTCTGATCGAATTCTTCTGGTGTTTCACAAATTTTAATTCCAAAACGTGTCCAACCTAAAAGAATGCTAATAGTACAAAACAAAACATATTTGTTCTTCTTCAAAACACATTTGTTACCTTTTGGACAATAATAAGGTTTGCCACCGCGATCTAATGCTCCCTCCCAAAATGTTCTGTTATCGTCGTCGTCATCATCGTCGTCATCGTCATACCTATTATCGATATAAGCACGATTCCAGTCCGAATTCATATATTGTTCTTTAATATTTAAACGTCCAATTACAATGGAATACAAATTATCTACACCATGTATTACATAATCTTCAGAACATAATTTTTCAACAACCATTTTACCGTAAGGTGGCTGAACAATCACTTGTAAAACTGTACTACCACGTTCCACTTTAAGTATAAGAAGTTTATTTACAGGTATTTGTAATTGTTCACATACAATTTGACAAAATTCATTTTGCCGATCTTCTCCATTTAATTTCCATTCATTATAGTCAATATTTAAGCGAAATATTAATGGCAAATCATTCTCTTAAAACATAAATACGTGACACGACATTTGCGCGGACGACATTATCGCGAGACATTACCGCTAAAACTTGTTTATTAGAAAAGAAGTATAAATGAGCCTGGTTTTGTATTTTACATATCATATTTCTCAAATTTGAGTTTGAAGTTATGCGGTGAATATTCATTATGTGATACAGCTCCAGATATCCAGTTTCATTGCTTATTGTGTTTGACCGGTTTTCCCTTCGGTACCCGATAAGCTGAAGCTCACTATTTATTAGCATTGATTTGTATATAATCAGAATTTTTATAGCAGTGCAGAACCTGTGATACGACATTTGCGCGAAAGACATTACCGCGACCGGGCCCTGATTCTTCCATGACTTTTCATAGTACACATTTGGATATTTTTAGCAGTGTTCGCGGGAAGTGGGTGGGGAGCAGAGTGAGAGTGAGTTCGAAGGTTGTTTCATATAAACAAAACTTATTGTTTTGGTGCGAAACTCGATATTTGCAACTGTATCGCATAATGACTATTCACCGTATGATTTCACTCAGGTTTCAAAACATGATGTACAAAATACAAAACCAGGCTCATTTATTATTCTTTTCTAATAACAAGTTTTAGCAGTAATGTCGTTCGTGGAAATGTCGGTGTGAATAAATATATATAAAATTTAAGCTTAAAAAACTCAGTTACTTACCGGACGGATTATCAATTTTTCCACTTATAACAGCTGGTGATAGTCGTTGTTGTTCATCATCATTTTGTTGAAATTCTTTTTCAAATTCCGAACCCTGTGCTAATTTATTTAATGTATCACATAAATTGATAATTTGTTGTTCTTGCTTTTGTGACTTATGTTCATATTCATCGTCTACTTCTTGTTCAATAAATAAATTTTGTCCACTTACTTCATTTTGTTTATTTAACCATTCATCTATTTTTTTTAAAATGATCTTTATGTCAACATTATCTGTTTCATAAAACGCTTTAATACTATCATAATATTGTTTTACTTCTTGTATATATAATATTTTATCGTCATCAAGTGTAGAGTTTTGTTTTTTAATATATGATATATAATCTTGTAGTTTATCTAATAATTTTTCAATTATTTGTGGTTTTCGTCTTCTAGCTTGTTGGTACGTTGTTATAGCTCTATTAATTAACAAATAATTATTCTGAAAGTGAGCCCATATATTATCTGTATTTAATACTTTAGTTTGTGGACAAGAAACTAAACGTTCTTTTTTATCACACCATTGTTTAATTAAATCAAAATAGTTTTTATCATTATCTTTTGTTAGTGGTTTTATTAAAATGTCAGTCAATGTTTGTCTCTCGTTCTCAAATAACTTTTCTTGCTGCTTCAGCCAATTTCTTAAAGCGTCTTCATCATTTTGTATTTGTTGTTGTTTAAATTCTCTCTCATTATTGTGTATTTGTTTTTGTGTAGACTGTTTCTTTGATAATAATTGTAAATTTTGTTGTAAACTATTTATGTGTAAATCAATTTCACGTTCATACTGTTGTATTTGCTGTTTAAGACTATATTTAATTTGAACATTTATTTGCTCTAATGCTTCATCTAATTGTTTTTGCAATAATTTGAAATCATCTTGAAATTGTTCTAAAGTCAATTTTTCTTTTTGATCAATGTAAATATATTTAAGCTTAGTTTGTTGTTTTAATTTTTGCTTTATTTGATTATATTTTTGTTGAATTTGAATTTGTTCTTCTTTAATTATTTCTTTTTGCTTTTGAACAAATATTTTTAGACAACATGCTAAATCATTATCCATCTCGTTAACTATTTTAAACTAAAATATCAATTTGGTTATATTCTACTTCTTTTTTTTTCTGTTGTTAGTTAATATAACGAAGAGAATGTTTTAATAATAGAAAATTAAGAAAGAATGTTAAAACACTTAATATAATTATGTTTCTATAAGAAAATAGTAACAACAACGGGACAGAACCGCTACTGTCGTTTTTTTACTAATATATTTTACTTCTAAGTAACATATTACTGTGAAACCATATTGGCTAATAGAACGAAACAGAAATATATTGAAGACTCAAGCAGACAAACTTTTTCGAAAACGCGTTTAAGCGCACAAAAAAAGATGAAAAATCTAGAAAAGGTGGGCGTATTTGGATGTCAATCGGGGTTCCTGACTGTGAGAGAAAAACGCCCATTTCCCCCCTTCTGGTGCGTTTACATGCGTTTTCAGCCCAAAATGCGTGTAAATGCGTAAAAAAAGTGGTCGTTTTTTTCATACTAGAGAACTCTAATTATGATTGCGTCACAGGTAACGACTATGAGAAAAACGACCACTTTTTTTCTTTTTTTATGCATTTACACGCGTTTTTGGCTGAAAACACGTTTAAACGCACCAAAAGGGCGGAAAATGGGCGTTTTTCGCTCACAGTCGGGAACCCCGATTGTCATCCAAACACGTCCACTTTTTCTAGATTTTTCGTCTTTTTTTGTGCGCTTAAACGCGTTTTCGAAAAAGTTTGTCTGCTTGGGGAATGGTGGGCGTGAAAATTATAAACTGATTTTGTTTACCAGAAGTATCTAAGTTTAAAACTTTACTAGCTAACAACTTCTACTGTCTGTGTTATATCTCAGAAACTCAATCATGCTAGATTAGTTCACATAAAGTTATAGAAGTTTTATAAACTCAGACTGAGGCTTGGAACACGAGCTTTTCTCATCAGTTCTTTAATTACTTACATTATTCGTAAATCATCAATTCCGATTTTCGGCTGACAACAGCCGTGATTTTGACTTCCATCAAAAAATAAAATATCCATAAAATTTAAATACGATGCTTGGAAAAAACAAGAGATGAAATAATGAAAGAGAAAACAATGCCCTTTTTTAAAGAAAGAAATGGGCTTTTATGTTTTTATTGATTGAGAGGAAAAGTAAACGAATGTATTCTTTCTGATTCATTTCATAACATACATACAAGAAGGTAGTACGTATAACGAGAGCTGTACAGTTAAAATATTCTAGCTTCAGCAAATATACTTTAAAAAAAGTAGAAAAACACAAACTGTTGGCAAATCATTCAGTCATGCTGTAGAACTAGTGTTTAAAGAATTTAGCTAAAACAAACAGCCTCATAAATTGAATTTTGTACAGGAAATGGTCATTACAGTTCAAGCTAAAACAAACAGTGAATCTTCCTCTTGTTTTGTTCCCAGCAGCAAATTGATCGAGCTATAGAACGGCGTTCAAATTGGTTGAACTACCATCCATTTCACATTAAAACAAGCTGTCGTAGTATATCAAATAACTCCAGAACATGAGCAGGTAGAGACGTGCGGTTTGTTTCAGTCGATAGCCCAGATATGGTATCTGTATAGTTGAAATTTAATAAAAAACACAATTAAAATAATTTCAACTTAAAATTTTATTTTAATGATGAAAAATACTGTATTGTTTGGAACTATACAAAAATCTATTACCGATAATTTTTCAGCAAAAATAAATCTAAGTAACGAGCGACATTCATTATTCAGGTTAATCGTAGAAGACAACTCTATACTCTGATATATGTATTAATTAAAGACAGATACTGGATTTAGTTTTGCAGTTTACTACAAAGTTAAGTTCCTGCGTTAGAATCTGTATTCGTACAAAATTGATTTTGTCTTTTTCGGTAGTTTTAGTTTAGAATACTATAATGGAACATATTCTGCTTGTATTGTAACAGAATAAACCTTATATCAATTAAAGACACATATGATTTAATGAATTTACTCAGAAGTAGGGGTGGGACAGTTCCAGTTCAGTTCTTTTGAACGGGAACGGGTATCAATTCTTTTCAAAAACTTAAAATTGAAACGAAATCGGTGAGCCTGCTTACATTGACTTTGTGTAGTACGCCAGAGGTAGATGGTGTGTTTAGTTAACTAAACCAAGTCAATATAACTAGCTATGTCAGTTTTATTTTATTTTGAAGTCTTGAAAAGAACTGGCAACCAGTTCCCGTTCAACAGGAACTCCACTGGTGACCAGTTCTTTCGATCAGTTTTTAAGAACTATAGGAACTGGAAGAGTTCCACCCCCTACTCAAAAATGACGGGTGACAGTTTCTATGGAAAATCACCATTCTGATCGTTATCACTTCCATAATTATAAAACAGACCATTACCATGTTCAGCTAGTTCATCGCTTTCAAGACCTGGTAGAGGGTAATTATCAGATCCACTGAGGTTATTTGAACAACCATCAGCGATAAATCTAACAATTTTCTTATCAAGTTTCAAGCTTTTAACAATTGTATCACATTGTGCTAATGAATTTATACCTGAGTCAGAGATGGCCACTCCGAAGCACGACTCGGACTCTAGTCGACTCGAGGCGCATTTTTCTGTGACTCGGACTCGAACTCGTACTCGAGAATTTTGATAAACTGACTCGAGTCACTTTCGAGTCAGTCACGTGCAACTTTACATTATTATGAGGATGTAGAAAA